TCCCCTTGCCCACCTCGCTTCCAGCAGAACCTGTTCTGCTCTATCTTAAGGTTTTTGTTAAGGAGAGACATAAGCATTAACAAGAAGGACAAGTGTTTTTTTGCTAGTTTGAGTTAAGGATAGCTATACAGAGAGATTCCTAGCATTGCTTTCCTGTACAATGTGTTACAACCCAAGTTGATTCCATCTCTAAACTGTCTTTACACTGGTGGTTCCTTGATTCCCCTTCTCTGTGACTCTGTCACTTTAAGGTTTCTGTAATTAGCTCCTCTGGAGTGCGGGACATCAAACGTCTTTCATGTTTTGGTTTTTCTACTATTCCTATATCTCCCGTATGTGCTCTCCTGTCATGTAACCCAATCTACACATTGCTGTATTTGCCCTAGATCTAAAGTCGCAATATGAGGGAGAACATATGATTTTTGGTCTTCTGGGCCTGGCTAACCTCTCTCAGAATGATGTTCTCCAGTTCCATCCATTTACTGCAATGATAAGATTTCATTCTTCTTCATGGCTGTGAGTAAAATTTCCTTGTTATAAATTACCACATTTTCTTGATCCATTCATCAGTAGTGGGCATATTGTTGTTTCCATAACTGAACTTATTGTGAATAGTGCTGCCAATAAAATGGGTGTCAGGTGTTTTTGGACTAACCTGTGTCTCTGTCTTTTGGTGTATCTAGGGAGATGGGAATTACTGGATTCATATGGCAGATCTATGTTTAGAATTTTTAAGAAGCCTCAAAATTTTTTTCCAGAGTGTTGCACTACCTTGCATTCCTCACCAGCCAGTGTAAAGGCGTTCCTTTTTTTCCCACCATTCTTTGGTGGTGATTTTTTTTTAAATTTTATTATTCATATGTGCATACAAGGCTTGGGTCATTTCTCCCCCTGCCCACCCCCTCCCTTACCACCCACTCCGCCCCCTCCCTCTCCCCCCACCCCCTCAATACCAGCAAAACTATTTTGCCCTTATTCTAATTTTGTTGTAGAGAGAGTATAAGCAATAATAGGAAGGAACAAGGGTTTTTGCTGGTGAGATAAGGATAGCTATACAGGGCATTGACTCACATTGATTTCCTGTGCTGGGTGTTACCTTCTAGGTTAATTTTTTGATCTAACCTTTTCTCTAGGTTCCCTGGTCCCTTTTCCTATTGGCCTCAGTTGCTTTTAAGGTATCTGCTTTAGTTTCTCTGCCGTTAAGGGCAACAAATGCTAGCTAGTTTTTTAGGTGTCTTACCTATCCTCACCCTCCCTTGTGTGCTCTCGCTTTTTATCATGTGCTCAAGTCCAATCCCATTGTTTGTGTTTGCCCTTGATCTAATGTCCACATATGAGAGAACATTACGATTTTTGGTCTTTGGGCCAGGCTAACCTCACTCAGAATGATGTTCTCCAATTCCATCCATTTACCAGCGAATGATAACATTTCGTTTTCTTCATGGCTGCATAAAATTCCATTGTGTAAGATCCATTCGATCATTGTCGTGTGGGCATCTTGGCTGTTCCATAACTTGGCTATTGTGAATCGTGCATAAACATGGGTGTGCAGGGGCCTCTGGAGTAACCTGTGTCACAGTCTTTTGGGTTATGGGTATATCCCAAGAGTGGTATTGCTGGATCAATTGGTAGATCGATGTCTAGCTTTTTTTTTTTTTTTTTCATTTTTACTTTTATACTTCATATGTGCATACAAGGCTTCTGTCATTTCATTCCCCCCTGCCCCCACCCCCTCCCTTCACCACCCACTCCACCCCTCCCGCTCCCCCCCCTCAATACAGCAGGAAACTATTTTGCCTATCTCTAATTTTGTTGTAGAGAGGTATAAGCCAATAATAGGAAGGAACAAGGGGTTTTGTTGGTGGAGTAAGGATAGCTTACAGGGATTGACTTACATTGATTTCCTGTGCGGTGTGTTACCTTCTAGGTTAATTCTTTTTTTTTTTTTTCCCTTTTCTTTTTTTTTTCATTTTTTTTTTTTTATTCATATGTGCATACAAGGCTTGGTTCATTTCTCCCCCTGCCCCCACCCCCTCCCTTACCACCCACTCCACCCCTCCCGCTCCCCCCCTCAATACCCAGCAGAAACTATTTTGCCCTTATTCTCTAATTTTGTTGTAGAGAGAGTATAAGCAATAATAGGAAGGAACAAGGGTTTTGCTGGTTGAGATAAGGATAGCTATACAGGGCATTGACTCACATTGATTTCCTGTGCATGGGTGTTACCTTCTAGGTTAATTCTTTTTGATCTAACCTTTTCTCTAGTTCCTGGTCCCCTTTTCCTATTGGCCTCAGTTGCTTTAAGGTATCTGCTTTAGTTTCTCTGCATTAAGGGCAACAAATGCTAGCTAGTTTTTTAGGTGTCTTACCTATCCTCACCCCTCCCTTGTGTGCTCTCGCTTTTATCATGTGCTCATAGTCCAATCCCTTGTTGTGTTTGCCCTTGATCTAATGTCCACATATGAGGGAGAACATACGATTTTTGGTCTTTTGGGCCAGGCTAACCTCACTCAGAATGATGTTCTCCAATTCCATCCATTTACCAGCGAATGATAACATTTCGTTCTTCTTCATGGCTGCATAAAATTCCATTGTGTATAGATACCACATTTTCTTAATCCATTCGTCAGTGGTGGGCATCTTGGCTGTTTCCATAACTTGGCTATTGTGAATAGTGCCGCAATAAACATGGTGTGCAGGTGCCTCTGGAGTAACAGTCTTTTGGGTATATCCCCAAGAGTGGTATTGCTGGATCAAATGGTAGATCGATGTCCAGCTTTTTAAGTAGCCTCCAAATTTTTTTCCAGAGTGGTTGTACTAGTCTACATTCCCACCAACAGTGTAAGAGGGTTCCTTTTTCCCCGCATCCTCGCCAACACCTGTTGTTGGTGGTGTTGCTAATGATGGCTATTCTAACAGGGGTGAGGTGGAATCTTAGTGTTTTAATTTGCATTTCCTTTATTGCTAGAGATGGTGAGCATTTTTTCATGTGTTTTCTGGCCATTTGAATTTCTTCTTTTGAGAAAGTTCTGTTTAGTTCACATGCCCATTTCTTTATTGGTTCATTAGTTTTGGGAGAATTTAGTTTTTTAAGTTCCCTGTATATTCTGGTTATCAGTCCTTTGTCTGATGTATAATTGGCAAATATTTTCTCCCACTCTGTGGGTGTTCTCTTCAGTTTAGAGACCATTTCTTTTGATGAACAGAAGCTTTTTAGTTTTATGAGGTCCCCTTTATCTATGCTATCTCTTAGTTGCTGTGCTGCTGGGGTTTCATTGAGAAAGTTCTTACCTATACCTACTAACTCCAGAGTATTTCCTACTCTTTCTTGTATCAACTTAAGAGTTTGGGGTCTGATATTAAGATCCTTGATCCATTTTGCGATGTCTAGCTTTTTAAGTAGCCTCCAAATTTTTTTCCAGAGTGGTTGTACTAGTTTACATTCCCACCAACAGTGTAAGAGGGTTCCTTTTTCCCCCCATCCTCGCCAACACCTGTTGTTGGTGGTGTTGCTGATGGTGGCTATTCTAATAGGGATGAGGTGGAATCTTAGCGTCGTTTTAATTTGTATTTCCTTTATTGCTAGAGATGGTGAGCATTTTTTCATGTGTTTTTTGGCCATTTGAATTTCTTCTTTTGAGAAAGTTCTGTTTCGTTCACTTGCCCATTTCTTTATTGGTTCATTAGTTTTGGGAGAATTTAGTTTTTTAAGTTCCCTATATATTCTGGTTTTCAGTCTTTTTTCTGATGTATATTCTGGTGAATATTTTCTCCCACTCTGTGGTGGTCTCTTCAGTTTAGAGAACATTTCTTTTGTTGTGCAGAAGCTTTTCAATTTTATGAAGTCCCATTTGTCCATTCTTTCTCTTTGTTGCTGAGCTGCTGGGGTTCTACTGAGGAAGTCCTTGCCTGTACCTATTACTTCCAGAGTGTTTCCTACTCCTTCCTGTACTAACTTAAGAGTTTCAGGTCTGACATTAAGGTCCTTGATTAATTTTGAGTTGACACTAGTATA